AAAACATAAGGTTGGAAAAAATAAAACATTTCATAGGGCCCTAAACATGTAATTTTTGTTAAACTTTTAATACACTGATGTTAAATTGTTTAGGTTTCATGATTTTAATTAATTAGACATGCTTTTTGATCAATACAATTTAATTTAACCATTAAAAAGGAGTCCGGGGAAAGAAAAAAAAAAGGAATTTTTATCTTGTTATCTTGAGGGTTTTTCCATTGTTTTAGTTTTAGTATAACATTATAATATTAATTTAAAGAAGAAACCAATCCGATATATAGTTGACATTTGAGGCTTAATACTATGGAAAAGCACAAAGTTTTTCAGTTAGAGTGTTTTCAGCTTGATTATTTTCATATAAAAGTACGGCATGCAGTTGCATCAAACAATGGTATAAACATCATTCAATGTAAATTGTGATAATCGTAATTAATAATCGCAATTACAATTTCAAAGGAATAATCGACAATTATGATTTTTGTCATAATCATCCAGCCCTAATATCATATATCACCCAGCCCTAATTCGGATGTAAAATTTTGCATACTTTGTCTAAGTTTGAGTTTTAATTTGACAACCCTAGATAGGTGGATGCTTGCTTACTGGTCCAAACTTTACTATAAAAATGGAAAACTATGCTTGTATTGTGTGTAAGGAATAGACCAACTAAGATGCGCTCAGCTTATTTACATCCAACCCCTGTTGCAGTTATCTGGTCGGCCCTTTCCTGCCAGCCAAATGGAAAATGCTGAGGGTCAATTTCTACTCAAAACACACTAAGCTTTCTAAAATCGGTACCCACATCCACTGCCTTTCAGAAGGTCATATTACGCCCCATAATGGGATATCCTTTCTGCGAATATGCACATATGCACACAGAACTACTATCAGCATGGCCATGTTCACAATGAGTTTCCTCCTTCCTGTTATTGAATTCAACAGACCAAAGAGCAGCAAGTTCCGGACAACTGCCAGGAGGTACTGAAGGAAACAGAAACACAGAGCGAGTAAAAGTCAAGCCTCTCCTCTTGCAGCTCAAACACAAAACACAGATCATTATAAGTCTACATACATCTAACAACCACCACAGGGCAGTAACTGAAACCAAACTACACCCTTTTGTAACATGAGCTTGAATGAGGGTCAATCACTCGGTTTACGTATACACTTAAGCAAATAGGCTTAGGAAATAAGGTGCATTTCAGGATTTTTGCAGAAATCAAAAGCATTCATCATGTAAATGTGAAGTGTTTTCCTAATGCTGTTTAAGGAAATAACGAGATTTGAAAAATGCTTCCATTACTATGAAAGTCAATGGGTGCCATCAAATGTTTGGTCACCACATTCTTTAAAATACCTTCTTTAAGAGAAAATGGTTTACTACTACACTTAGGTTTTTGTCAGAGAACAGTGCATGGGGCCATGTAAATGCAAGTAAAATTTTTACAGGTTTTTGAAGATAACATATAAGTAACAAAGCTAAAATAACAGAAAGATAGAGAGAAGGCTGCTTGTAGTGAACGCAAATATGCGAACACAGAGCATGTAATCATAAAGGCTACTTTAGTGTCTCAAACCACTTTTAGGTGGTTATTTTATTAAAAAATATGCATTTAGGAAATATATCTGGTGAAATTTAATTTAATGCTGACTTTTAAAATAGCAGTTTTTCCCGTATTTTTTTTTTTAAATAGTGTTTTTCACCTTAAAAATAGGTTTGAAAACTTTTCTATTAAAAACTTTAAATAATGGTAATGTTTTAAATAATAGTCATATAATGTTTAAGTAATGCATACACAATGCTATAAAATGTTTTTAGTTCACTTTTTACTTGATGGACACACCTTTTTAAAGTCATGAAATTAAAAATAATGAAGGATTAATTTCAATCTAATATGATTCTGATGAATTAAAAGTGTCCTGGGAAAAACACCAAAGGTTGCATCCATTCCAAATCCATTAATTTATTAATACTGACAAATTAACACACATAAGTGCAACCCGAATGAAAAAGCTGACCGCACGATAAAGCACTTTCCCTGCACACCTTTGAACTTACAAGGTATAACCGTAAGAAGCAGGTGAGCCTTTCCTTCAAAGACTTGCTGCTGTGTGTAAACAATATGTTACGTGGACTAGGTAACATATCTGAAATCTGTGGAATGAGAAAATACAGCTGTCATACAGTATCTGTAACGATCAGCATGACTGTCAGCACAGAACGTGTGGCCTCAGGACATGTTGCAGGCACTGAAATGTCAACAACTTTTTTTTGGTCAACAACGACTTTATTCTAGAGGCTTAGATTATAGCCTAGGTCTAGTAGTGTTTTGACAGTTAACAGTTTTCTTCCAATATTTACATGTATATTGAGATTTAGATGAGGAATCAACTTATAGTGCAAAAGGTCAGTTGAGTTCTGCTGAAATCATGATTTCTAGTGTAATAAAGTCAAAAACCTTACAATGAAATGCAGCTGAGCGCTACTTAGACATGATTCACAAAATCACAAATTCTAATATAATAAAAAATAAAGCCAAAGATGTCATGATAGGATGTAGCTGGGAACTACTGAAATCCTGATTTTATCAAAAATCATAAAGCTAAAGACATCAGGACTGAAAATCACGAACTGATCAGAAGTCATGAAGCAAAGATGCCATGCTCATAATGAGTGTTACTGAAATCATGATTTTATCAGAAATCATAAAGGAAGAGCAAAGTTGGCACACCACAGCTCTTTGGAGACATTGTTTGTGGTTGATCAGCCACATTGAGCTTTTGGCCTACTGGATGTGCGCACTTTGATTGTAATCTTTATCAGAAATCATAAAGCCAAAGACATCATGATGGGATAGAACTGAGCATGACCAAAATCATGAACTGATCAGAAATCATGAAGCCAAAGACGTCATGCCCTTCATGAGTGCTACTGAAATCATGATTTCTTTTTATTTTTTTAGAAATCATGAAGACAAAGATGTCATGACACAGTTGAGTGCTTCTGAAATAATTTTATTAGAAACATGATTATGATTTTATCAGAAAACAAAGCCAAAGATTTCATTATGAGACACAGCTGAGAGCTACTGAAATCATGATTTTCTCAGAAATAATTAGGTCAAAGATGTCATGAAGGGACACAACTGAACACTACCGAATTCATGATTTGACCAGAAATCAAAGTCAAAGATCTCATCACGGGATGTCGCTGAGCATTAAAGAAATCATGATTTTATCTGAAATCATGTAGCCAAAATCTCATTATGGGACACAGCTGAGCGCTACAAAAATCATAATTTTATCAGAAATCATAAAGATGTCATGAGATGGTATGTAGTAGAGTGCTACTGAATCATATAGCCAAATATTTCCTGGTTAGATGTAGCTGATCATTTGAAAAGAAATCATAAAGCCAAAGATCTCATCACAGGACTTGGCTGAGCGCTACAGAAATAATGATTTTATCTGAAATCATGAAGCCAAAGATCTCATGGGACACAACTGAGTGCTACAAAAATCATAATTTTATCAGATGAAGCCAAAAGATGTCATGAGATGGAATGTAGGTAAGACTTATCATCATACAGCAAAAGATCTCCTGGTGGGACGCAGCTGAGCGCTACCAAAATGATCATTTGATCAGAAATCATGAAGACAAAGATCTCATGATTGGACACTGCTAAGCACTACCGAAATCATGAATTTGATCAGAAACTATAAAGCCAGAGACTTTATTATGGGACAATAGTTAAGCTCTACCGAAATTATGATTTGATCAGAAATCATGAAGCCAAAGGTCTAATGATGGGATGCAGATGAGCACTAGCGAAATGATTTTATCAGAAATCACAGCTAGCCTACCGAAATCATGATTTCATCAGAAATCATAAAGCCAAAGACAGCAAATCTTTACTGGAATAAAAAGCATTATCATAAAATCATGGTTTCTAATGAAATATGAAATACATGATGAAATGCAACTGCGCTGAAATCATCCAATTGTGAGGGTCATCATGTTTTCTACTGAAATTATTCAAACACAGATCACATGAGGAGATAAACCTGAGCTCAGGGCGGAATATTAATTTCCAACTCAACCCAGACTCATTTATTAACGCCACACCCACTCATATTTTGTCAGCTTTCATTCTTCCGCAGCCGAAATGTGTTTGGAAAAGGAAATGGACTGTATACTGAAGAATCTAACCTGACAGAGACGTTCATTTGGCAAAACTAAAGCTATTTTGCTCGAAGCTTTCCACCTGTCGACAGCTCTATTATATTCATAATGCAGTGAGACCGTCACTGGGCCTGTGCTGCTTCACCTCAGGTGTTTTTTTACATCTTATTTTATTAAGACAGATGCTTAGCGAATTCTAACAAATAATTCGCACATAACAATTATATTCATAATGCAGTGAGACCGTCACTGGGCCTGTGCTGCTTCACCTCAGGTGTTTTTTTTACATCTTATTTTATTAAGACAGATGCTTAGCGAATTCTAACAAATAATTCGCACATAACGTCCCCCAGTCGTACACGATGAATGACAGGAAAACAGCGATCTGTGTCACTGTCTGTGTGTTTGAAAGCAGTGTAACGTTACAGTGTCAGTACAGCATCAACGATCATTCATAAAATTAATCTGGAAAAACACGAATTCACAGTGACACGATCAGCACTTTATTTGATAGATTCATCAGCATTGCCAATGACATAAAGTCCTGCTGAGCTGCATCTTTAGCAAACAAAGGCCTGTTTTCCATCCATCGGACAGGAGAAACATCACATCGCCATCTGAACGGTAAATAAGAGCAGATAATGCTCATCTCTCACCGTAGCGTCGGCCCCACGCACGCCGTGTCCGTGCTCTCGATCTCCTGTAATATTCGCTCATGTTCGGTGATAGTCTCCAAGCTCTCGCTCTCCGCCATGTTGGCTCTAATCGTCACAGTGCTCATTTGTGACAATGCCGACAGAGATGCAGTAACTCCAGTGCACCGATAGGTGGCGCTGCAGCAGCCGGCAGCTCGCGAGGTTTGCACTTTACAGGCCAGACATGAAGCTTGATAGAGGTCACTGTTTTGTGATTATGTCATTGAGCTACGGACTGTGCAGAGCTAAAATGTGACCCTGGACCACAAAACCAGTCATAAGGGTCCTTTTTTTTTTAAATTGAGGTTTATACATCCTCTGAAAGCTGAATAAATAAGTTTTCCTTTGGTTTGTTAGGATAGGACAATATTTGGCTGAGATACAGCTATTTGAAAATCTGGAATCTGAGGGTGCAATGGTCCAGGGTCACAAATAAGTCGAATATTATAGGAAAGTGCATGTGGGTCTTTTCTCTTGACCTTGGATGGAAAAAAAATCGCACACATTTGATGAATGGCTATTTTGTATTATTACCTGAATATCAACAGCTGTCAAATTTAGTCAGTCGAAAGCTCATGTAATTTTAACTTTTTAACTTTTTAATTTTAAAATTTAAGTTTATGTAAAATTATATATATATTTTTTGTTAATTAGGAATTTGTGGACACATTATTAATGTTTTAAGACATATAGAGTAAAAAACATTGTTTTATTTTGAAGTGAAAAAATAAAATTAGACCTCTGGGGTAAAAGGAATTGACACAGAAGGCCAAGAATGATGTGTTGTTACTAGTGTTATTAGCCTATTATTATTATTTTATTTCTTTATTTATTTAATGCTTATTGTAAATCATGGGGTTATTATTCAATAATTCCATGAGTTAGATGTGCATTTTAGACATCTTAAATATTCATTAAAACCTATAGGTTAATTGAGTGAAAACATTCAATTTGAAGTCACGGTGTTGCTATTATGACATATCTTCAAATAAAATATGGGCTATTAAATATATACATATTCATATTAAAATATTTTTAAATACATTATTATTGTTTTATTTTTGTACAAATATTTTTGTAATTACTTATACATACACAGTTTGTGAAAATTAAAATAGTACATTTTTAAATATTTATTTTGTTTTATTTTTGTTATGTGTTTTTGTCACAATGATACTATTTTATTTAATTCTATAATTGTATATAATTGTATTTAATATTATTGTATTTTATTTATTTGAATTATTAATATAATACTACTTTAATCGTTTTTGCTATTTGAATACCATATAGGCCTAAGACTGTATTACATATAACTGTGGTAAAATAACAGGTTAAAGCATCCATCAAAAACACAATTATTTCATAACACATAACAGTCACTCTACCTTAAAGTTGTTCCTAGGGGCAAATCTACTGACTCCAGTTCTGCAAAAACATTCCCGTACACCTTTCCTTCTCCTTTGTCCTCTTCTTGGGGACTTGTGGGAATCTTGAGACTGCTGCTGCTGCTGTACATTTCTGTTAGTCTGTGTTAGACTGGGAGAATCGTGCTTCCAGCAGGACATACACATACTACTCAGCAGAAAACGGCAACTAAGGAAAAGGGACAGACCTTGTGATCTCTAGTACTTTGAATCCAACAAAACAGGCTTAGGTGCTGTCCTGTTAAATATTTCCCAATTGTGCTTCAAGATTTATCACACTACTGGACTGGGATCTGAATTTTATGGTACCTGGGTCACTATAAAATACTTTCTATAAAAGAAAATAAGTGTGATATTGTAAATATTAATAATTTTTAAAGCCATTTGTAAGAATAAACTCTATTACAGCATGTCTTAAATATTTGCACTTGGATACTGCTCATGAAAATTGAGAAGTGAACGAAACAAAACAAAACAAAAATATTTACATCATAACTGTTTGATTACATGTAAGAGGAATCATCTTACAAATTACACAGATTACAAAATACTGTTCTGTTTGCAAACTGATGTCGTAACAAACGGTTTCCTCTCTGCTTCAAAACAACAAATAGGTTGTGACAGGAAACGAGATCAACACTTTTTTTACAAAAAAGTTTGCGTTTGCTTTTGTGTCTTTAGAAGCTTTTTTATCTTGTTTTCACTATCAGTTTGCAACCATTCCTTTTTTAAACTATCATTACAAAAAACAGTAATATTGCGAAATATTACAATGTAAAATAACTGTTTTCTATTTGAATATATTTTAAATGTAATTTATTCCTGTGATGCAAAGCTGAACTTTCAGCAACCATTACTCCGGTCTTCAGTGTCACATGATCCTTCAGAAATCATTCTAAAATGCTGATTTGCTCAAGAAACATTTATTAGAAATAATGAAAACTGTGCTGTATATTTTGTGGAATCCAGGGCACAATCTTTTTAAAGGGGTCATATGATGTTGCTAAAAAGAACATTATTTTGTGTATTTGGTGTAATGAAATGTGTTTATGCGGTTTAAGGTTCAAAAAAAACATTATTTTCCACATACTGTACATTATTGTTTCTCCTCTATGCCCCGCCTTTCTGAAACGCGTCAATTTTTACAAAGCTCATTGTTCTGAAAAGCGAGGTGTGCTCTGATTGGCCAACTATCCAGTGTGTTATGATTGGCCGAATTCCTCAAGCGTGTGACGAAAATGTTACGCCCCTTACTATATTGTGATGCCTGCGGCAACCACATGTGACGACCCCGGGCTGGACTCCGCTTCGTCCACGGTGAAAGCCGATCCGGCGATCCACAGC